CCTGGAAGGAATTCAGGCTGCCTCATGCCCTGACTTGTCCCGTGGAGAGTTGAGCAGATCCGGGGCTGGAATGAGCCTGGACAGACACCTGGATTTGGGCTTGGAGGAGCCCAGGGCATGGAGAGCATCTCCCATGGCTGGGACTGAGCTCTGGGTCTCTTCCCTCCCAGAAAATGGAGTTTTCCACCCTGCAGATGTGACTTACCCAGCGTTTGTGGCCCTGGAGAGAGTTTCCTCACCTCCCCAGCTATCCTGGAGGCACCTTTGCTCCACAATTCTCCTTCCCTTGGCTGCCAGGGATGAGGAGGAGGAGGAGGAAGGGGTGTTCCAGCTCTGTTCCACTTCCCACCTGGATCAAAGGGAAAAAGCTGCTGGGAAGGGACATTTCCCCTCCTGGCTGCCTGGGAAAGGATGTTTGATGTCCCCATGACACCTCCTGTCCTCCCTGGCCATGTCTGGAAGCACCCAGCCTCTCCCACCAGGACCCAAAACCTTCAAGGCTGAATCAGACCAAAGTGCAAATCCCTCTTTTTATTTTTGTTTTCCCTGCCCTTGACATTTCCCTGCTGTTCAGTGTTTATAACAAACCCTTGCCTTGCCCTGCTGGAAGCCCAATTGTTTGTAAACATGGGAATCATGGAGAGGAGGCAGCCAGGGAGCAAATACAGGGAAATGCTCTGGATTGCTCCCACTGCTTGCAGGATACCTCAGGAAAAAGGGGATTTCAGTAGGACAGGCCTTGGCTGGGGTAGGGAATCAGGGTGGGATGGGGAAGCAGCTTGGAGTGGAGATGTTTCCTAGGCCGGTTGCTGTTCCCAGGAATCCAGAGAGATGTTTTATTGAGATGATTTTATTAAGATGATTTATTAAGATTATTAAAATTGAGGGTTTTTTCTGCTGTCAGGATTTTCTTGGGGTTTCTCCTGCCCCAGGTGAAGGCAGGGCAGGGCTCACCCAGGGGTGACCCATCAGGGGCCTGTGTGGCCTCAGCTTTGCTGCTCCCTGGGGCTCTGCTCCTCTCCTTTGGATCCCTGCCTGCTCCATCCCTCCTCCCTGGCCCTGCCTGAGCATCCCAGCTCGGATTCAGGGATCTCTGCTGATCCCAGGGCTGTGCTGGTATCACCCTGACTGTGCTGAGGCTCTGCTGGGGGACACAGATCGTGCTGGAGCCTCGGGAGAAGGAAATTCCCACTCCTAAGGAAGCTCTAGCATGGTTTTAGGAGGTGTTCCCAGCCAGGAGGATCTGGGCTGGAATGCAAGGAGGGGTTGGGAATGTTACAGCTGGACTAAATGAAAGGTTTAAATGATGAGGAACATTTGGTCACATCTGTAGGTGCGGAGATCTGCCCTGAGTCGCTGGAAAGGCTGGAAAAGGGAATATTAACGATATTAATGCCATGGGAAGAGCTGTTGTTCAGCTTCCAGGTGGGATTACACGGCACAGACGGGATGTGAGGGCCAAGGCTGCTCCCTCAGGCTGCAGACAAGGGTGCTGCTGCTGCCTGAGAAGCTCCTAGGAGGAAATTTGGGAAGGATTTGGCTTGGCACTGGCAGCTGCACTGCTGAGAGATCCCAGGGGGATGGGATGGCCACGGCTGTGTCCATCCTGGCTGTTCCATATCCGCTGCTCTGGGGCTCCCTGATGTCCCCTGGAAGGGTCCCTGAGGGCCAGGTGGGCTGATGCTGTCTAGAAATGGAGAATATTCCTGCCTTTCTCCCCCCAGAAGGGTGAGATGACTGTTTTTGGAGCTGGATTCATTGGATGAGGTCCTTCCAAACCTGATGGGCTGTGTCAGGTGACCCTCGAGTTTTCTGGGCTCCACCTAAGAGGAGAAAGCTCTTTCCTGAAGGCGCTCGGTGCTCGGAAGGTTCCCTATGGAGATGCTTGACTCAATCTCCTCACCCAGCTACAGGAAACCACCCCCTCCCATTTTTTTTTCATTTTTTCCTCCTTTTCTCAACTCCTGGCTGCATCCAAAGTGGTACCAAATGTACCATGGGATGATTTATGGCCCTCAGGAGCCGTGGAGGTGCCAGGGAAGCGGCGAGGCTCCGCTTGCCGTGCCTCTAATGGCTCGAATCAAATTCAAATCAGCCTTAATGGCTTTAATATTCCTTCCATCACCTCTCCGAGGATAATTACAATCAATAGGATGGATTGGCTGGGAAGAATACCTGCAAATTCTGGAGTCAATTAAAGAAATGCTGGCAGGAGGGGAAGCGGCTCCGGCAGACTCGGCTGTGACCGGCTGGGCAGGGAGGGAGGGATGGAATTGCCGAAGGAATTTTGCTGCCCTCGAGGCTCAGTGCAGGCAGTGCTGCTAAAAACTCATCCCTGCAGCTTCCAGGACTTCTGCAGGAGCTTTCTGGATGGGGAAGGATGTGCTGGAGTCTCTATTTTATCTCTTCATCCCTGGAATATTCCTGCTGTGGGACGGATTGATGCCGGTTATCCCTGTGGTGGTGAATCCAAGGAATCACACATCTGTCCAGACACTTGCACTCCTGCATTTCCAGTGTTTCAAGAAGTTAAATTTGTGTCCTTCGGGCTGTTTTGGTCCTCCAGGCTGTCCTGAGCCTCTGGAGGTGGGCATGGTGCTCCTGCTTCCCTCAGAGCTGTCCCATCGGTGTCCGGCTGCCCACAGAGCCACCCTGGAACATCCAGAGCACTGGAACACTCTGGAGCATCCAGAGTCCTGAACTCGCCTTGGGGAGGTGGAAAAGCTTCAGGTCTGCGTTTGGAAACAGCTGGAAACCTCCTGGAGATGCTCAAAAAATGTGGAAGTGGCACTCGGGGACGTGGTTTAGCAGCGAAGACGGCAGTGGTGGATTAATTCGTGGATTTGGTGGTCTTAGAGAGCTTTTCCAATCTTAATGATTCCATGAAAAGACTTCAGGGTTAACCCAGGATATTCCAGAAGCTGTAGGATGGAATTTAGCATGGACCACGTGAATAACTCTTTCTTGCCTGCGTCTCTCCAAAAACTGGAAACTAATTGAGAGCATGGGCTAAAATCCTGGAATCATTTCATCATTGGCCATGGGCAGGGATCTGATTTTCATGGATCAGAGCAGCCAGAATGGAAGGAGAAATTCATGGACCAGCTTGGCAAGAGGGAGGAGAGAAATGGAGCCAACAGGTGCTTGTTCAAGCCACGTGGGAGTATTGGTGGAGCAGGATTTTTGGGAATGTGGGCTGGGATCAAGCCCAGACCTTTGGTGTAAAACCTTGATCCACTTTGGAGTGCAAATCTGGATCCACTTTGGGAGCAAATATTGGCTGGGAGTTAAAACAAGCGATCACTGCTTGATGGAGCCGGCCTGGAGTGTGAGTTCCCTCCACCCAGGGATGTGATGTTGTCTGGGAGCAGGGAACAGCCAGGGATTCCTGCTGGAAGGAATTTTTCCAGCCAGGAGCCGTCAGTGTGGGAACTTCTGCTTTCCAAAATCCGGCTTGGGGCTTGCAGGAAATTCCATTTCTGTCATTGCTCAGCCAAACCTTGCCTGTCCTCCCGACAACTCCGCTCTCCGCTGGATCTGAGCACCAAACTCCTCCCCAGGCACCTGCAAAAGGGAAATCCCTGATCAGGGAGCTTCTCCAGGGTAATTAATTCATTGGGAGGCTTTGACATGGAAAACCAACCTTTGGAGTGTGGAAAAAGCTGTAATTGTGGATTGTTGCAGTGTTCTGGGAGCGGGATGAGCTGCAGGAATGATTCATCCCTGCTGCTGGGGGATCAGGAGGGCCCTGGACTTTGGCCACTTCCCACCCAGCTCAAAGGTTGGAGATTCCTGATCCTGCCCAGGAGAGCAGGGCCATTCCCTTGGGAAAACATCCAGAGGGATTTTCAAGCTGCTCGGTGGGAATTCCATAGATTGGAGGGATGGGCCTTTGTTTATTCCCAAACCGGGCCAGGCAAAACTCCCAGGATTAAAAATCCTGAGGAAAAACTTGATTCCCATGGCCTTTCCTTAAAGGAAGAACCAAACACGAGAGGGAACAGCCTCTGGATTCTGTCTGGGTGGATGATTCCCCTTCATCCCAGTGCTGCCAGAATGGGAATTCCTCCAGGTGATGGAGCCCGCTCGGTTGGTGAGTGAATGTTTCCTGTGGGATGTGGAAAACCTGGAAAAGTTGGATTTTTCCAGCACTAATTGTGGTGCAGGCAGCAGGAAATCTCCCTTTAATACCACACTAAGGGATCATTGTTGGGATCTGGCTCTGTGAAACCAATAAATTTATTATAAATGTGTATTTTTGGTGTTTGGGAATCACAAGCAGGAAATCCAAAGGGTTTCCAAGGAGAGGAGTGAGCATTTATGCCAGGCAAAATTTGGAATATCTCAGAACAGTGGTTTGGGTTTGTTTTTTTTAAAATAGGGAGATTTTGGAGCCTTGCAATCCCCCCTAATTCTTCAAATTCCCTCTTGAACCCACGTGTCTCAGGTTGGAATAGCAGCAGGCAGCAGGAATTTTGATTTCCCAGGATAATAATTATGTGCTTAGGCAAATATTCCTTGCTTATTAAGTGGGATAAATGCAAGGCAGGGGGGTTTTAATTCTCACAATTGCCCTGTGCTGTGCAAAACCTGTTATTTTCCCTATGGATGGAGAGGATGGATGTGCTCTGCCTGTAGGTGGGGAACACCTGGAATTGTGGAAAATCCAGGTGCACCTGGAGGGAGAAATTGTGGGCAGAGGAGATTTAAAAACCAGAGGGAAAAGGGTTTATTTTAATCTTTATCTTTATCTTTATCTTTATCTTTATATTTTTATATTTTTATATTTTTATTTTATATATTTATTTATTAGTGTGACCCCAACCACGTTGAAGATTTCCAATGCTGAGGAGCATTGGAAAAAAACCAGGATTGTCCTGACTCCAAAATGCCAGGGAGCTCAGGGATGTTCTAATTATTCTAAATGATTTAAATATTGTTTAAATATTTAAAGATTTGTTTCAATATTCCAAAGAATGCTCCAAATATCCCCCACACCCTCACAAACAGGAGAGTTTGTTCCTGTGAGCAGCAGGATTGCCTTAGCAGTGATAAGAACAGCAGGAATTGTGATTTATTTCCTTCTTCCTCTCTGCCTGGATTTAAGGTGGTTTGGATTTAACTGGTTGGAAAAGCAGGTGCAACACTTGATTATTTTTTTTAAAGTTTGCGTAGAAACTGTGAAGAAATTGCTCAAAGCATCATTACTGCTTCTCCTAACAGCAAAAAAAAGTCAGGAAAATCAATATCAGTGACAAAAATTTGCATCCCCATCTCCTCAGGATGTGCTTTAGGCCAAAGGAGCTTTAAGGGAGCGTCCGATTTAGTGGGAAAAATTGAGTTTTCTGGGGAGAAAACCTCTTGAAAGGATATATAAAAATCCCAATGTAATTCACCAAAGTTGGGTGTAATCCCCACTGGGAGGAAATGTGATTTCCCAGCCTCTCCCAGTGTCTCACTGTAGGCATTAATTGAATTTTATAAAAAGGAAGCTGTTTAAAATAATCCCATCATCTGCTCAGTTCAATATTTTCCAAGGCTGGACACCATGATCCAGGAATTCCTGTGGAATTCTGGGCACAGTAACACTGCTGAGGGGGCTGAGGAGAACCAGAATTTGGCATGTTCGTGCTCTTCAATCTCAAATAATTCTGCTTTTGTGTAGGAATTTCTTCAGTTAGAACTAAAAACCATTAAAAATCTCTGGCTCTGAAATCAATCCTGCTCCAGCAGAGCCCCCGTAGATTCAGTGGAAAATGATTTTCCCTCTTCCAATTATCCTTTCACATGAGGTGCTCCATAATCCCTCTTCCCCTGGAGCTTTTCCAGCTTTTCCAAGCCCTCAGATCATTTTGGGGCACCTCATCTTTCCCTGTGGAGTCGTTTGCGTCACCGGAGTGGGAGATCTTATTTATAGCCCCCATCTGGGAGCGCAGCTCCGTGATCTATAGATCTCCTTTAATGAGAAAATCACACCCAAGGCTCTTTATTCCTGCTGCTTCCTCTGGAAATCCGAGAGGAAATGGGATTTCCAAGGAAAGAGAAGCACCAGGCTGAGATTTAATCCTCTCTATGGTAGAGGCAATGCTAAAAAAGAAAAGAGAACTCTATTAAAGCTCTGGATTCTTTATGCACACAAAAGCTGCTGGTGTGTGAGGCCCGTGGGGAATCCAAATGCTTTTAGTGAGTTATTAAAAATTGAATCCAAACTTTTTATTCCGTGTAATTCCTAGATTGGATTTATTAAAGAGGGATTTGGGGAAATAGCAGCGTTCTGTAGCAGGGTCATTCCTTTCTCTGGCTCCTTGGCCTGGCAGGTGTTTGATGATTTGGTGTTCTTAGGAATTCCGAGAAAAAATAATTGTGGGAATCATTTTTCCGTATGGAATTCTCTGCGTTTTGTATTTGCACGGATTCATAATATCCAAACTCTTGGAATTTTCCTGGCACACTCCAGCTGGCCTTTCCTTTCTTCTGCTGTTTTCTCATCTGTTATTACTTGGTTAAAAAGCAGAAAGGTGACTTTTAGCTGGGCCGTGCAAAGATCCAAGAGGCCTTTTCCTGAGAGGAAGATTCCCAGCTTGGGACTTCCCTAGGCTGGTCTGGGAGCAGCAGGGAAACATCCTGCTGGAAAAACACCTCCAGGAGCTTTCCCAAGTGTCTGTTTCTGGGAAGGTGGAAATCAGGGCATGCTCCTGCAAACCTTGCTTACAGCCTTGACCCCCTGTTCTCCTGGAATTCCTTTGGATCCATCCTCAAGTGACCAAATTGGCCAATATTTCCATATATTAATAATATTGAAATGGCTCAAAACAGGTGCTCAGAGCTGCAGGAATGATACCTTTTCCCAGGAAACGCCAATCCAGGCTGTCCATAAATCACATGGATGAGGGTTTCCCACATTTTATACCCCATGTGCCATATTCCATGTAAATAAATATATTTTGCAAGATGAGTTTGGCAGTGCTGATCCTGGGCTGTTCCCCATCCCATCCCTCTGGAATGGAGCAGAAATCTGTGTTATTCCCAGGAAGCTGTGCTGCTGTTTCAGGATAACTCTGTTTCCAATCCCTCCTTCCTTGTTATCCGTACATTTCGTACTCCTGGAACAGCTGGGATGTGGAATTGGAATTGCTGCTACTCAGGAGAGATGCTGGAGAGCTCCAAAAAGAATTCCAGGGGCTTCCACAGCTGGTCAGGGGAGTTCTGGAGGCCTTTGGGAATTCTGGGAGACTTTGGGAATGCTGGAGGCCTTTGGGAATGCTGGAGGCCTTTGGGAATTCTGGGAGACTTTGGGAATGCTGGAGGCCTTTGGGAATGCTGGAAGCCTTTGGAATGCTGGAGGCCTTTGGAAGGCTGGAGGCCTTTGGAATGCTGGAGGCCTTTGGGAACTCTGGAGGCCTTTGGAATGCTGGAGGCCTTTGGGAATGCTGGAAGCCTTTGGGAATGCTGGAAGCCTTTGGGAATGCTGGAGGCCATTGGGAATGTTGGAGGCCTTTGGGAATGCTGGAGGCCATTGGGAATGCTGGAGGCCTTGGGAACGCTGGAGGCCTTTGGGAACGCTGGAGGCCTTTGGGAATGCTGGAGGCCTTTGGAATGCTGGAGGCCACTGGGAATGCTGGAGCCCTTTGGAATGCTGGAGCCCTTTGGAATGCTGGAGGCCTTTGGGAATGCTGGGGCTCGGAGCCAGTGCTGCCTGCAGGATGCCACCCTCTCCTAAGGCCCCGCTAATGTCCTTTAGCTCCTCTGGGGTTTGTGTTGGACCAAGTAAATCCAGAAGCAAACCGGGGTGGTTTGAGGCCTGGATCCAACCTCGCCGCTTTCCGTGCCCTGATTCCCGAGGAAACCCCAGGGATGAGGTGGCAGTGAGGCTGC